CACACACACACATTCACACAGTTACACATTATTATTATTATACATCAGCTGATTATACTTACCTGTGTGTGTGCGTGTGTGCGTGTGTGTGTGTGTGTCACCTGTTAAGGGAACAAGTTTCAGATGTTGGTATTCAGAGAGCTGGAGTCTTATCTGATTTACACTCACACATGCGCGCGCACACACGTCTAAACACATGATGATGATGAGATATGCAGTATAGCTCTGGTGTCTCCTGTTCCCTTCATATGCAGTGTGTGTGTGTGTGTGTGCTGAAGTGCCGCTGTATCTTTATTTGACCGCGAGTGTGTGTGTGTGTGTGAGTGTGTGTGTGTGTGTGTTGATTATAGTGAGTAGATCTGCAGATAATCACAGTATATATGAGTGTATTCCTCCATCATATCCTCCTCTATAAGGCTGAATTCTCTTGTATCTCAGTGTGTGTGTGTGCGTGGGCGTTTGCGTGTGTGTGCGCGTGTGTGTGTGTGTTAGTGGTCTGCTCTCTCCTGTACTGAGATCAGCTGCTCTGAGTGTTATTTAATAAAGATTGAACGTGTCATGTCGTTTGTTTGTGTAATTCTTTCATCAGTTTCTTCACACACACAGTAGGACACATCACATGTTCCAAATAGTTAGTAGTAGTTCCAATAGCGGAACCAAATAGTTCTGGTTAAGAGTCGGGTAATAGTTAAAAGTTCTGGTAGTTCTGACCAGCTTTCATCAGATGCTGTGTTGAGAGTGTGGCTATATCACTGTGTGTGTGTTGTACACTGTAGTGTGTGTGTGTGTGTGTGTGTGTAAGAGTGAGAGAGAAAGAGACAGAGACAGAGAGAAAGTGAGTGTGTGTAGTATAGTGTATTGGATGTGTATGTGTCTGTTGTACAGTACATTGTGTGAGTGTGTATGTTATACAGTGGACAGTGTGTGTGTGTGTGTTGTGTAGTGTATTAAATGCATATATGTGTGTGTGTGCTGTGCAGTAAATTGAGTGTGTATTATACAGTGTTCTGTGTGTGTGTGAGAAAGCATGAGTAAAGTCTATTGAATGCGCATGTCTGTTGGATAGTATATATATTGTGTGTGTGTGTGTGTGAGTTGTACAGTGTACTGAGTGTGTATATTGTGTATTGAGTGTGTGTTTGTGTGTTGTACAGTTTATTTAATGTGTTTGTGCATAGTGTATTGATCATGTATGTGTGTGTTAGACAGTGTATTGTATATTGAGTGTGTGTGT